AGAACCCCGACTGGTTCTCCGTGGACCAGTACAACAACCTCGACAACCCCAACGGCCACTACCGGTCCACGGGGCCCGAGATCTACGAGCAGACCGACGGCGAGGTGACCCATTTCGTGGCCGCGGGGTCCACGGGCGGCACGATCAGCGGCATCGGCACGTACCTCAAGGAGAAGAAGGGCGACGACGTCACCATCGTCCTCGCGGACCCAACGGGCTCCGTCTTCAAGAACTACTTCAAGACGGGCACGCTCTGCGCGCCCAAGCCTTTTCTCGTGGAGGGCGTCGGCAAGAACAACATCCCCGGGGCCATGGACTTCGCCGTCGTCGACGCGCTCGTCGAGGTCGGCGACAAGGACGCGCTCAAGATGTGCGCGAAGATCGCCCGGTCGACGGGCCTCTGCGTCGGCGGGTCGTCGGGCCTCAACGTCGAGGCCTGCGCGCGCCTCGCGGAGCAGTCCGACGAGCCCCTGACGATCGTGACGATGCTCTGCGACTCGGGCGTCAAGTACCTCTCGAAGATCTTCAACGAGGACTGGCTCGCGGAGAACGACATCTCCATCGACTAAAGGCCGGCTCTCCCGGCCCGTTTGCCCACGATCCCGCGCCGCCTCCGCGCGCTCGCCCGCCCAGAAACCGCGCGGGGCGCGCCGCCGGTCCGCCCAAGAACCCCAGGACCGCGCGCCGTCCCCGCCGCACCACCACTCGCCGTCTGTGAATAATACGTCGAACCTTACTTCGGAGACCGTGATCGCCCACGTCGAACCCGAGTCACGCGGGAAGCCGCGCGGCGAATAAGGCCCTTAGTCACACGGGCAGGGGCGAGATGGAGATGCCCGGCCGCAGGTACGTCTCCGGCACGGCGGCCCACCGCGTCGTCTCCTCGGGCCGCTCGCGCCCGAGGAGGCGGTCGACGTCCTTCGGCGAGACCGTCGCGTCGTCGTCGGACGACGCGGCGACCTCGTCCTCGACCTCGCGCGCGCGGAAGATCGGCGCGGCGGCCTCGTCCTCGACCTCGCGCGCGCGGAGCGCGCGCTCCTCGGCCAGGCGCGCCGCGACGCGCCGGCTGTCCTCGGAGAGCGGCGACGCGACCTCGTCCTCGACCTCGTCCTCGACCTCGCGCGCCTGGAACGGCGCCGCCGCCGGCACGAACGCGGGGCCCGCCGAGGACCGCGGCGACGCCGGCGCGCCGTCGTCGCCGTCCACCTCCCGCGCGTGGAATATGGGGTC